CTTGCTCGCTTCAACAACTGGTGGAGAACGCGTCTGGCACCACACCAGACTTATTCCGCCCCTTCGTCCACAGCGAACTAGACTATAACTCTTCCACACCATGTTCTAGCCTTACTTCAGACTGCCAATTCTGAGATGTGCCTCGGTTTTTTTGGAACTTTCTTCGTGGAGCTCCACATAAGGTGTCATTGTGATGTTGTTCAGGTGGACAATCCGAAAGGTTCGTTGGTGCGCACGATTCAAACATGGGCGAAAAATACGATCGGTATTTCGACGCCATTCTTTTACGGAAGAGGACTGTTCCAGGTGAGCGTTCGAGTTCTTTGTCAAAACTGTGGCTTACTGCGGACTACTGTCACCTGATTACTGATTGCTGTTGCGAGGCGAGCCGACTGGTACTCCTTAAAACGCGAATTTCAGTTGGACTTCGGCTTTTTCCCACATCGAACACCGATTGACACTGTCGTTGGGGCGCCAATAGCTGTTCCGAAGATACCTCAGCCGACCGAAGAGGAAGTGGACCGCGTCCATCGTCAGTACTGCGAAGCCCTTACAAAGCTCTTCGATCAGCACAAAACTCGATTCGGCGTCTCCAAAGAAACGAAACTCGTTTTTGTCTAGCGATCTTGGTCCTGAACAGCTTTTTGGTATCCTTTCATTGCCTTGCTCAATCTGTTCTGCCATCCTTTTCTAGTCAGACCCGGCTATCAATATGACTGTTTATTGCAGATCTCAAGTTTTGTCTTACGAAATGTTTTATTTACTGTTACGGTGATCAAACTGTTTTCAAATGCTCGAAAAATTTGTGTCATATGATGGAGTCATTATTCCCATGGTTAGTGCTCTGGAATAAAGGTGTTTGAATAAAGTAGTCGCGCTAATTTGTTAAGAATACGCCACGCGTTAGACTGGACTCAGCATAACTTGGTCGATGGATCATTAGTGATGGCGTTGAATTTCAGCCACTCTAGGAAGAAAAAGAGCCATGTTTGGCTCAGTAGGAAGTGCATGGAAGGGAAAGGAATAAAAAACTTGATGGGAAATGAAAAATCCACCGTATCTGTAATAGTATGTAGTTCTGAAGTTAGACGCATAGCAAGCCATTCGCCTTGATGCCTGCCCTCGTTTTCCGCTGTACCAACTCCTAGAGGTTTAAAGAGCATATACGATTATTCTTGAAGAGTGCGAATACAGGTTTTCTCGTCAGCTGGCTCAATTTGAGAGTTGAAGTGAAGTAGTGGGCTCATACAATATGTCAAAAGCAAGGCGACTTTCGATGACGAAAACTTCTTTTCATGCCAAAGACACCCATCGCCGAAGAGAATGTGAGGAAGCAGTTGATTGCATACCTTCATTTGAACATGGATTTATAATGGTCTTATTTATGAAATAATAGGCTGGATGAGGAAAGCCTTGCCTTGTCCCTGTACGATTTTTCTCCTTTCTATTTTCTAGCTTAACATGGATTAGAATTTACTCAACAATATACTCGCCATTCCACTTGCAGTGCTCCATCTAATGGACGGGTCAGCAATCGCTTTTTCCCAGAAGCAGCGCGGCTGCGAGTCAAGCAAATCTGCGACCCCACAACTTCATCAAACTTGCTGGCAGTTTTCTTAGCTGAAGAAGCCTCAAAGGGGCGGAACAGGTTGCAGTTGTGGGGGCCTGTATCAGGAGAATATGGTGGGCGAGGTACGGTCTCTCCGCCTTGCTTCCCAATTATATGGTAGGTACCCATAGCAGCAGGGGGTTTCCCGCCATTATGAACGGGGTGTCCCGAGGCTGGTCTCTGTCATTTTTCTCCAAGAGTTTCAGTTGTTTATGGACCCGAGGCACAAATGGTAGCGGTGACCGTGTGTTCTTACAGGAATAGCTCCTTGTGCAGCATTCTCCTTGCGTCCAGAAGCATCGGCCTGCTAACAAAGATGAGTCTTTTAATAGGTCTTCTCCTCGAGATAGAAACACGGTTCTGTGTGGACTCCATTCAAAATAAACTCTTCTCTCATCTCCACAAACCAGCCTCCCAGAAACTCCTACTGGTGAAGGCTGAGAAGGGGAGACTGACAAATGGGCACCGAGCATCGCGTGCCATCCGTCAAAGTACATGTAAGGGGTCCACCACGGAGCCTTTCCGATAGGCGAGAGCTTACCGGCGATGGGCAACTCTCGGTCAGGTGCACTCGAGTCTCGTCGCAATAAGTGAATGTTTTGTCTGGCTCGCGATCAGGGCACGCCGTGCATACACAAAAGGGGTCTCATTGACCGCGAGGGCGGGAAGTCGTAAACGTAAGCCCTTTCCGAAAAGGGAGAGCAGCGGATGCTGCACAGCTCAAGTGGTGAAAGATCTATTTGTCACAGGATCGGCTTTCAATTAATCTCGGCATCAGAGACGTAATAATTCAGAATGTTTCTTCAGCCTCCCGAGATTTGTACAGATAGTTTATTGGACTAACGTTTCGGCGAACATCGCCTTCTTCGGAGCCTGCAAGTCGAAACCT